CTTTCACGATGTATACTTTTAATATACAAACCAAATAAAGAAATGATGTTTACCTACTTAAAAAAAAAAAAAAAAAACAATTACTGAAAGGTGCCAAAAAAATATCATAATATAACAATTATCCAGTTAGTGCTATAATAATTGCTAGAAGATGTTAAAAAAGATTACTTTTATAATTCCTAATATTTTTTTCTATAAGTTATTACAACAATTTACCTTAAAATCACTTTAGCAGTTGCAAACAAATTGCAATAAATCTATAAATAATAAGACAAGCATAAGTTCTAATTATTAAATTGGCTTTTGAAAAAAGATTGTAATATAAATCTAATAAGTTTTCTATAGTATTCTATCTATCAAAAGATAAGTATTACTTCTAATATTTTATATTTTAACTTTCTCTTAATTCTATATAAAAATCAAAATAGAATTAATTAATATATTATATAATAGTAATACTAATAAGGCTTTGACATATTAGTCTTAATATATACTCTTCTATGGATTATGCTAACAGTTAAAAATAGGTCCCTAAATTAAATACAAGGATATAATTCAAATGTCTCTTACTATTAAAAAGGTTTTTTTTTTAAATATAATATCAAAAAAAAACCATCTATAAAGGTTTTTTGCAATTTAGGCCACTTTATTCAAGTGTTTTTTAATTATGTTCCTATTAAAGTAATATAAATAAATAATTATATTCCTTCAAAAAAAACATAATTAATCTGCAAAATTTTATACATTAAATAATTTAGGGACCTATTTTTACTGACAGTAACAAGTATGGTTCTGAAAATTGGAATTGAACAAAATTGCAAAAAATTATATGAGATTCAGAACACTATTAAAAATAATGGTGAGGTATATTTTATCTATTAAATTTAATATAAACTTGTGAATCGAATATAGAATTAAAGAGAATTATTGGAATTCTTAATAACATGTTAATATAAAGTAAAATCAATATAGTTAAATAATATTTAGTTAATTTATAGATAATAATTCCTGTAATACATGAAATATATATATGAAATTAAATAAAAATAGTATATTTTAATAAGGTCTTAACTAATTAACTAAATAAAAAAAATATTAAAATATATTAAAAAACCTTAAATAATTAATAATAATAATTCATAGATGAATTTTAATATGTTTAATAAAATTAATATTGTTTTGTAAAAAGATTTTGAAAAAACAACTATTATCTAAAATAAGATAAGTTATTATATTTTAATTTTTTATTTAATTTTTATTTATTAAACTATTTATTTAATTATTTTTCAATTATTAATTTCTAAAATAATTTTTTCTTAATTTTGATCAGAATTATATAAATCTATTAATAATGTCTTAAATTTTAATAAGCTATTTAAATATCAAATAAATTAAGTTCTATCTAGTATTAATATTAAGTTTGAATAGAATAAAAGATATTCTAAAATAATAAAAATTCTTTTTATTTTCTTTAAAAGAAAAAATAAATTCTTAATTTTAGTATATATATTATTAGTGAGAAACTGATGTAAGATATGATTACACAAACACATTCCAGTACATCATGTACCTTGATTTGCAATAATCAATGACTTATAGTCTATAGCAACATGTAAAACTATGATGTAATTTTAGAGAAGCTTAAATTAGTTATAATCTTAAATAACTTATTAATTATAAATAGTTTATTAGAATTTAAGAAGATTATATAATATAATTATAGCTTAATAAAGGTATATTAAATAAGATAAAAAAGGAGAAAGTAGTAGCATGAAAAAAAAGCAAAAGATAGACAAAAAGTGATAATAAAAAAGAAACTGTTTTCTAAATTAAAAACTTCTTAATTAAGATATATAATTACCATTACCTAATTAAGTAAATTCTAATTAACTTATCTAATCCAGTACTTATCATGAAATAAAACAGTAGCAAAAATTTGTCAAAAGAAGCAAACAACAAAAAAAGAAGAAAAGAATTAATAAAACTTGATTAAACAAATTACATGTTTTAAATAGAAAAACTAAATACTTATCTGATATTACATAAGAAATACTCTGGAGAAGCAACAGACTTGTCAAGAAAGATGTCAACAATATATTATATTTTTTTTATTTATTTAATATAATTTTTTTGTTTTTTTTTAATAACAAGATTTAAGATATATACTGTATAATAAATATAAACAAAATTCGAATTAATAGATTTATAAAAATAAGATAAACAAGTTTAATTGTTTGTGATATTATTATTTGTAAAATTAATTACCTTTTTTCTTATTTTTAGGTTCTTTATAAGTTAAAAAATTTTTCTTTTAAGATATTTGCAAATACAAACTTTATATAATAATATAAGATCAAGAAAAAAAGTTCTTATAGTTTATTTAGTATTAATTCAATAAACTATAATTTCAAAGAATAATTGTTAAATATATGCAATTCAAAAAATATTTAAAGTTAATACTAATTTGTTTTGATTAATTTTTCAATATTTTCTTGATTTTTACTTTAGTTAATTTAAATATTTATTAAAAATATTTGATAACAAAAAATTAGATATAGCAAATTAAAATTAGATCTAATTACTAAAAAAGACTATTAATTAAGAACAATTCATTTCAATAAATTATTATTCAAAAACTCAATATGTAAATTATTAGATATAGAGTATTGAAAAGAATATACTGTATATATTTTTTTAAAAAATCTTTGTATATAAGCTGATATTTTCTTTTAAAATAATATATTATTATTGAGATTGATATATTTGTTCTTTATTAATTATTACAAATTTTGTATATTCAAATATCATTTTCAATTTTATTGATAAATTTGCAAGTTGGTGAAAGATTTTTATTAAATTTTGAATTGAGTTATTAAATTCTTCAAATGAATTTGTAATAAAAAATTAATTGATAAGTTCAAATGTAACATTAAAAATATATACTGTATATATATAATTAGAAAAAACTTAATTTATTTATATTTTTGTTGATTTAATAATAATATTTTTTGTATATACCTACTTCTATTTATATTAGCTGCGACGCGTCCACCAATTTAACGTCGCGTCATGCAAATCCCAAACAGACTATCCCCACACTGATGCATGATCTGATGCATCGCGTAAGGTCACATGACCCTCGCCGATCCCGTAACAGTACATTGAAAAAAAGGATCTTATGATTGTAAACCAATTTGAGCAATCGGTTATCACAAAAACATGTTTAACGGTACAAAAATCAATATCGCTATCTTACTTACTAAAGTTCAACTTCGTAGTCCATCAGTTAACCCATTTTTACAAAAAGCCTTATTCACAAAATTTCACTGTCACAACTCGAGTAAGAGTTTTTCTACCTCGCAACATTCAGAGCAATCTGATACAAAAGTTGATCAAGACAAACCTCATAGGTTGCAAGAGAAAAATTTACTTTTATGGGGACATGAATCGGAAAGTGCGTTCGATGATTACAGAAATACACAGGATAACTTGAATAGAAAAACGGTACTAAATCAGGCTGAGCCGCCAGAAAAAGAACCAAAAGGTTCTGATGATTATACTCTTAATGTTGGTAGAGGTATGCTTTCTGTCTTTATCCTATAGAACTTCATTATTTCATGCGTTAAGGCACAAAACTCTGAATGAATCACATCTAATTATTTCTTAATTATCAGCAATTCGTACATTACGATCCGATCTCTCTTTGTTTTTTGAACACGGTCTTACTGATACATCAGTTTATTCGCAAAACATCCTTTTATCGGATCCTTATCATACAGGACTCCATGTACGTGGGAAGCACGTGTATATAGGTATTGCCAATCTGTTAAGATGGAGTCTGGTCTGGTATTTTGACGATTTAACGTTGGAAATATTAAAGATTCATGTAGTTGACAATGATGCAGAAAATGGTTCAGGACATGATGAATATTTTAAAGATCCGACTTTCGATGATACTTTGGGCGAGAAACTTCAGAATTCTAAAAAGGTCCCACTTTCTAGGGATCAGATTACTTCTTCGGAATTGCCCATACAGTCCTCAAATAGAAATAGAAACACACGTCTCTTTATTCGTTGGTCACTCGAAGGAACCCCCCGATCGTCTTATATTTTCTCAATGTTTTCTTCTCGCAGCACGCGAATTCCGCGATCAACTTTCTCGGGGGTTTTCATGTATAAATTTGATCTTAAAAATGGTTTAATATCTGAGCATCATGTTAAGAATATTATACCTGCACCGAGTCGCAGGGCCGTGTTATATCAGGGCTTTGGTGGGCTTGGAGGATTACTGTGGCGTATTAGAAGTGGAATGAGACAAAAGAACGAATGGGGAGTAGGTTTGGGAATGGTTTATCGGGTAACAGAAAAAGTAAAGATAAATATAAAATCATTTAAAGATAAATGTTACGTTAATGAACGTACCGGCATATAACATATTTTGCTTGTGATTCGTCTTATCGTTTTCCCTTTCATGTAATTATAACGATCTGATTTCGTTACTATTGATGACATACTGCTTGAAGGTAATTATGAGTTAATAATGGGATAAAGCCCTATCATATAACATTACAAGGGAATCCTAATCCTGAACTGAAGTATAAAAAACAGTTTGAAATATATTTAAAGCAGAAATATCCAAAGGCAATGTTGGAATATTATATTTAATTTAATAAAAGCTCTTTATATTTATAATAATATAAATTTTATTTTTTAAAAAAAGTTAAATTTGATATTATATTACATACAGTCAACCTCTGTTTATAATTCCTTTTTTATAGGCACATTATATAAAAATTCTTTTATAATCATATATCTTTTCAATATTAATTATATTAATTCTTTTTGTAACAACTCAATTTGTAAATAAAATATTTTAATTAATATAATAAATAAAACTTTCTAAATTAAAATTATTATTATTATTATTATTATTTATAAGACAAATATTCTTTTTTTTTTTTTTAATGTTAAAATAAGGCATGTTCATGATTTTTATTAATAAGGTAATTATTATTTAAATTAAAAATGTTTAACACAATGCAAGTAATAGAGTCTATAACAATAGATATATGAATATACTGTAATTATATAAGCTATATACAGTTTATTCTTGCTATAACAAATTCCATTAAACCAGTTCCTTTATTATAGCAGAGCTATGGTTTCAAAAATTGAAATCAAATAAATTTATATAGACTCATATAAGATTTAAAACACTATTAAAAATAATGATAAGTTATAATCTATATATTAAATTTAATATAGATTTGAAAATCAAAAATCAAATTGAATCATTAGAATCCTTAAGCAGAGCAATATTTTGAAACAAATTTAAAAAAAAATTTTTTTTCTGATAAGTAAATATTATTTCTTTATTTTTTTTTTTTAATATTAGAATGGCTATTAGTATCTTTATTATTTATAAGAAATTGCTATATAGCAATATTACAAATCTAATAACTAATATACATCTCTCTTTGCTAAGAAGAGTTTAATGTAAGACTTAACAAAAGTGGTTCCGACCATTCCAGTAATGTTCTATAAACCCACCTAAACACTAGTAAAACGTAATATTAAAACTTAGACTTAATACTTAGACTGGTGCCTAGTGTAAACTAGAAAGGATTAGAAATACCCAAACACATGAAGGCACTGCAGCCAAGTATACAAGTTGGCCTCCAAGTCATGAATAGGATTTGGCACACTTGTTTCCAAAGTTGACTTGATATATGGCAGGTGGAGAGGAGGAGGAAAGAGTTGGTTTTATTATGCATGAAGGTGCTGCAGCCACTTTTCACAAGTTGGCTTCCAAGTTACGTAAGGAGTTTGGTATATCTATTTTTCAAGTGTGACAGAAGTGTCCAATGGATAGAATTGAATTGGAGTTTCTTAAAAACATTGTTACCTAACCATACACATGAACCTACATTATTGAGAGGTGATTGAGAAATGTTTGTTGTCGATACCAGCTCTGTTTGTGAGGATAACTAGAATCTCTAGTCATCATGTGTCATCTTACTAGGTATCCTAGACACCAGCATATCACTTGTAAAAATCTACACTGACATTGGCTACCATATACTGGATACAGTAGGACACAACTCCCTGGAAGTTCAAATGACAATGGTTATACAGTGGCTTCTTAGATGTATTGTTAACAGGGAAAAATATATGGGTTGCTGGGATCGACGTTTGTCATGTGACAGGATACAATTCATCAAACTCAGCATCAAGAAGTTTAAATAGTTTAAGTGGGGATTTGCAGGACATGACGGTAAATCAGCATATGCATCGTGACAGATATAAATGGGGAGGGTTTAGCTAGTTAAAATAGGAAGTAACCATCGATATGGTATAAACTTGTAATACTTGTAATTGCACCACTATAATTAATAAACTTACCTTAATTGGATATTAGCTACTGTAGGAATCCTAGAAGCCCATAAAGGATTGTGGTAGAAGATTAGACTGGTAATAAAAAAGAAGAAAGTTTATTAACAAGTGTCTCTGGTTAGCAAGTGACACAAGCCTCTACATACCTATCATTACATGATGACCTAGTCCGGATTAGCAACAGACTTGTCATGTACCAATAACAGTATCTAGTTTAACTATTAACAAGTAAACAATGCCAGATATGAAATGATAACCATACTGATCTTTTGGAGGGGTAAACCATCTGTCCTTTTTCTAAGGAATCATGGAAGCAAGAAACTTCTTAAGGCCCACAATATAAAAGAAGTTACTACTTCTAAATATGGTTCTTGAGAGAAGGGAGTCAACTGGCCAGAGGAGTGATAAGATGGAGAGTAGCAGCTTTAAAAGAAAGAGAGGCCTAGAGAGAAAAAACTTCAGAAAGAAGGAAAAAACTTAACTTCGATAGGAAGAAGAAAAAAAAGAAAAGGAAAAAGGTATGTGTAAAAGAAAAGTTTATAGAAAAGAAGGGAAAAAAAAAGGAAGAGGGAAGAAGAAAGTAGTAGAAAAAGAAAATAATATTAGGGGAAGGGGAAAAGCAAAAAAAGAAAACAACTTAAAAATTTCCTAAAAAAAAAATTTTCAAGTATAGAGTGGGGAGTAGGAAAGAGTTTTTGGCAATAGTTAATATCATTTCTTGTATACAAAAATATAACAAGTTAAATGTTGGCTTGCCTACACATTTATATCTAGCTAATATTGAAAAAAAAAATTTTAAAACAATATTATATATACTAAATATAGCTAAATAATGACTATGCTTACTTACTTAAAATTTTTTGATTGGATATAAAATAAATAGAAAATAAAAGAAAATTTTTTAAAAAAAAAACTAGGGCTACAATAATATTGGCTACTAAAACTAAAACTAAAACTGAGTCACCTAAACTATAAAATCTATGTAAACAAAAAAAATATCTAAAAGATAGCCAATAGTCCAACCCTTGCATTAGTGCTGGTCTTAAAGACATAATTCTTGTTAATATGAATAGTAAAGTATAGTTAATATTGTTTGTTGTTGTGATAGTTACTATTATTGTTATTGTGTTAAAAAATTGGTTTAAACAGGTTTAATTTTTTCTTTGTTGTTTTGATAAAATTTGATTGAATAATTGGAAAGTAATGATTATTTGGAGGAAGTAAGCTGATTTCAGTTTTTTGAAAAAAATTTTTAAGAAATTTTGGAATGGCACAGTAAATAGTACTATGGTAAAATTATGTGTGAAGATTGTATTAAAACAAATAATAGACCCAACAGTATTGTTTGAGTATATTTTTTGAAAGGTGTTTGATTTAACAAGTGTAATAATATTAATGTGGATAGTTTTTATAATATAATAAAGAAAAGGAGTGGTACAAGAAAACAAAAGAAAAGAGAACTGCCATGGATCTTTTCTTATATAATTGAAGGATAAGCAAGATTTTCAAACTTGAGTAGACTTTGACCAGAGGTTCCATCCTACTACTGTATACATGTTGCTAAAATTTGTAGATCCTTGACGCAATTAATGCAATTATTTGACACAATTAATTGAGTCACTATTAAAACATATAAATAATGAGCTGGAGTTCACTTGTGATAAAGAGTGTAAAACATTTTTTCTTGCTTTTTTTTTTTTTTTTTTTTTTTTTGAAAAGAGCAAATGGCTATCACGCTTTATTATATTTATTATACTTTCACTTA